TTTCTTCGGGGCAAAAGGCCTGAGTGTATGTAACAGCACTATTTGACTACTGTTGTTATGTTCTATAGACGTCATCCCAGCTGCTTTTGAGTATTAGGAAATGTAGTAAAGACCCCTCAAAATACGAGTACGACAAATACTTAAATCATTTATTTATATAAAAAGCTTAAATGCCACTAAATAGGGACATGAGTTATTAGTCATGTCTTATAATTAGAGACAATCGCTAACGAGTAAATTAGGGTACAGATATTAGTAGGGGAGCCCATGATACTAAGTGGGGTTTACTCGAGCGTCATGGGGACCTATTGCATTTAAAAGATTAGGTAATAGAATGAATAAAAGTTATATAAAGTTTTCACTTTCAGCAGTAGTAGTACCTTCTACAGATTTAAAAAAATGTAAGGGGAAGAAATCGAAAAAAAAATGCTCTCATTGAAAAATCTGACGATTTTGAAGTGATACAAGCTCGTAGCGAATTATCAAAAATGCAAACTGAGAATTTGAAAAATCGCCATTTCGAAATACCCGAGCGCGTTAGGTTTTATACAGACGGTTTTGTTTGATGTTCCTCTCATACTAGACGAAAATCGTACGATAATTTTTACGATATTTTAAATCTGAAATATTGTTGTTTTTTGTTGATTTTTTATAAAATGTGACAAAAAAGGCACGAAAAATTATGTAGATATTTAAAGAAGATTTCTTGAATTGTTTGCTTTAAAAAAAAAAACTGAAGCCTCTCTAGTTATAACTTGTGCGGTACTTCACGAGCTTCAGTTCACGAGCATAGCAGTATCTCATTTGGGGATTTAATGCAAACTCAAACTCAAATATCTTTATTTCATAAAATCTTTAAAATTATTTGAAATCGTCTCTTGTGTAGTCTTTAAATTCATAGATCAATACAAAATAGCAATTTATTTATTTATTTATTTGGAAACTTAACAGCTATGTTACATATATCATGGGTGAAGTTAAACATTTTTTAGACTCTTAGCCAATAATAAAGTTTCGCGACAAGTAAAAGAAAATTGCGTGCACCACTTAAACATAGGCAATTGTACGTATTATATCCTATCTATAATTTAATTTATATTAGGTATATTGTGTAGAGTGAGAAGTATTCATAAAGAAAGCAACTTACAAAAACAATCTTAATTTGGACTCACAAGTATGATTGCAACTTTTTAGTTATTTGTCTTTTAAAGGCACTTTTTGAGAGGTGGAAGATGTTGATCTCGTCAAAATTAATATTGTAACAGCTAGGCAAACGAGTGAGAACAGAATTCTTAGCATAATTGGTGCGGTGCAGAGGAACACTGAACAGGCGCGTATGTCTAGTACGAGCCCCGGGTGTATTCAAGCTAATTTTAGAGAGAAGTTCGATACTATCAATTTCACCTCGAATGATAGCGAACAAAAAGCTCATGTCTAGTAACACACGCCTACTAGATAGAGGCAGCAGATCATAGTGCTTGCAGTCGTCAAGATATGATAAATGTCGTCTCCTTGTCTTAAAATTTAGATGTCTAACGAAACGTTTTTGAATTCTCTCAATTTTATCTGTGTATGTAACATATTGGGGCGACCAAACAGGACTGCCATAGTCAAGTACACTTTGCACGTATGCGCGGTAAACAGTTTTAAGGCAGTTGATATTCCTAAATTTAGCGCACGTACGCATAACGAAGCCTAGATTTCTGAATGCCTTACTGGTAATGGTGTCTATATGACGAGAAAAAAGCATTTTGGAATCCAACACTACCCCCAGGTCTCTTACATGATCTACCCTAGTGATAACATTATCACCGAATTTGTATGTGTACTTGATAGGACTTCTACGACGACTAAAACTTATGCACTGACATTTATCAATGTTAACCGTAATTTTATTGCGTTTATAATATGAGAACAATGCGTCCAGATCCCGTTGCACCAACTCACAGTCAAGTGTAGATTTAATTTTGAAATATATCTTTTTATCATCAGCATACATTAGATGCCTCGAATTACCAAAACACTTGTATATGTCATACAAGTAAGCACAATAGAGAAGAGGCCCGAGGTGAGGTGAGAGGGCATATTGATGAAATTAGATTTAAAGCCCCCCACAGTTACAGCTTGTGAGCGGTTCATTAATAATCTCTGTTTATTCAAATGTTTAGCAAACTAAATATATACGTAATGAAAATCTCTTATATGCCTGTGCCGATCTACAACCGCCCATTTGTAAGAGGTTGAGCCTAATGAGAAAAAAGGGCAAACAAACTCACGGCCGCTCTTTTTAATCAACAGATAACAATAGCATCATTAAATATACACAGCATTGTTTTGATGTGTGCCAGTATGTAAGTTTTAAGGACTTAAAGCTGAAAAGGCAATGAAGAGGAAACAAGATATAGAAAAAAGATGGCATGAAAAAGAAAGTGAAGTAAAACAGAAAAAATGAATAAATTAAATAAAGACATACGAGTACTAGCCCTCATCACATTTCTACTACGAAATAGCCTGTGCTTAATTAATCCCAAGCATTCTTGTCTTATATGTAATCCACAATTGAGTAATAAGCTTTCTGACGTAGTTTACGTTTTATTATGGATTTAAATTTGGTTATACTAAAATCTTATATACTATTTGCGATTTTATTATAGAATCGGACACATTGACCTTTTTTTTTGGTAAATTTTCTAAAAATGAAACCTAGCTAGATCGATTAATCGCCCCCAAAACCCCCTGCATACTAAATTTCATGAAAATCGTAGGAGCCGTATCCGAGATTCAGATTATATATGTATATACAAGAATTATACATAGAATCTAATGTTATTCTTAAAAAATCGTTGTATCTACAAGGTTTAGCTCGACATCCCTAATCATCAAAGTAGCTTTCACTGACTCAACTTGACGTTTGGCGTGGTAAACCGTATACACTTAGTGTTTTTTCATTTAAAAGCAAATTGTTAACGACAAACCAATGAACCACTTTAGAAATAGCGCTGTTTACTTCTGTGAAATTAGTAAATGTGCGTTTGAGTCTACTATTAGTGATGTTTCATCTGCAAACAACACAATCCCCTGATTATCCTTAACAAGGTGAGTTAAGTGGTTAATATATATATACTAAAAACCTAGAACCTAGAACCAAGTGGAACGCCCATTTCTACCACAGAACCCGAAAATCGCTCACCTTTAATTTGAACTTTCTGAATACTATTAGTTAGATATGAAGCCAGAAGTTCCAGTGCTTTAGTTTACATACTATAGTGCTGTAATTTCCTGATCAGTATTTGATGAACAACACAATCAAAAGCTAAATCTTTTAATTGTGTTGTTCATCAAAAAATTAAAAAAAATATATTTAGATAAATCGCAAAAGATACAGCATCAGTTGTGGAGTGACCCCTTGTAAAACCAAAGTGTGTAATAAATTATTATTATTAAAATAACTTTGTAATTGATCATACATTAGTTTTTCCATAATTTTGCTAAATACTGGTAGTGCTGATACCGGCCTAAAGTTAGTTGGGTCGGATTTACTGCCAGATTTGAATAAGGGAATAATTTTACTGGACTTCATAAGATCAGGAAATATACCACTATACTAGAAACAGACACATTTAATCAACATATTGATTAAATGTAAATGACAAGTGATTGGCCACAAGAGATACAATTGTCTTAGTAATAAAGACAGATATGCATTTTATATTTCACTTCAAGCACAGTTGGCAATACAGATAGTAAAACTTTAAAAAGCGCTATTTTTAACGCTCTCCAAGATACTGCGAGAATATCTGTTTTCAGTGAAAACTAGAAATTTTCTTCATATCTACGCCTCCTTAACTTAGCGCGAGCCTGACTTTGGTGACACTTAAGAGGGCATTCTCTCTCCTCTATTATTCTCAATATTTCGAATCTTCAATGTTTATGCCGATGACTTGTAGCTCTATTATCAAGCCGTTAACAATGACCTGGAGGCTATAAACAGATGGGCTGATGAGTTTGGTTTTGGCTGTGAATCCAGCAAAGTGCCAAGCCATCATCATAGGGCCTTCTATCGGCTTAAGATCTTACTTCCTTCCGAAACAAAGCGATGCTGTACAGACCCTTTCTTGGATTATGGTGATGTATGCTATTATGACCTGAATGCAGATCTCCTCAATAAATATGAATTCGTCTTTAACCTTTGTAAATCCGACCATGTTTCCTTCTCTCGTCGCGAATTGAACTAGCTCACGATTCGTCAACGCCGTCAGCTGTGCGCCCTCATCAATTTCTATTCATTTCTCAACTCACCTATTTCCTCTTCCTACCTGACATCCTCATTCCAATTTCTATGTTCTAATCACAACAGAACCCTTCGTTCCTCAGTCAATCGTGAAGCGGCGGTAGCCTAGTGGTTAAGGCATTGGACTTGCGATCAAGAGGTCGTGGGGTCAAATCCTGACCAGTACACTACAGACGTGAACCCACTCCTGACACAAGCAATTTATATAAAACTGCACAGATGGCGTAGTGATTTAAAGCTTCCAATCTGCCCTCCTCTGGAACGCTCTACCTCTCTAAATCACTTAATCATAATTATTATTATCTCGTCAGAACAAAAAAACTTAATTTCTAGTGCACCTACTCAGAGATTTCCCCACCACCCAAAGGTAGACTGGGAGAAAATGCCCAAGCATTCAATTCGACATTGTACAATTAATTGTTATTTGTGCAAAAATATTCTAATAAATAAAATTAAAACTTAGAAACACTATCGTGTAATTAAACATGAAATGTAAACAATTCGATATATTCTTTTAAATTCGACTGTTTGAAACGTCAGGCAATTAAAAGGTAAGCACTTAATACCTATGGTGATTGCGTTAATTTCCGTAAACATAATTATGGGTTAGATATTTTTCTGGTAGACCATTTACTTTATTTACATACAATCCAACTGTAGATTACGAAAACTAAATTGAGTCCTATGATTTGTAGCTTAGTCCACCATCATGAAGTATGGTATTTTAAGGTATGCAGCAATACAATACATATTTTTTTAGGTAATTGTTTCCTTTTCAAAATTTTCTTTTTATACCGACCACTTTCTATATGAGGGTCGTTTTGGTTTCGTTTTCATAACAACTTTGTTAATTAATTTCCCGCTGTTCACCGCCGCTCACCGGCTGTGTTCCGCCTAGTTAGGCATTTCCATCGAGTATCCTCATACTAAATAATGTATAACAAATTGCCGTCGGCCTTTCATACTGTTCTAATAAATTACAGGAGCAATTACTCTCCCCTAATAAGCGTTTAAGCGTCTATAATTATCGCAATCCTTTTCATGTAACGCTTTCAACTCAAACGATGACTAAGTAATCCGATAAATCATTAAGTCTTTTATCACTTAGAAACAAAACATTAATTCAAGCAAATTAAAATGTTATCGCCTATAACTATTAATGCCTATTGCAATTTCCGAGCCATGAATTGCACTAAAGTGCATTCCTCGTAAAAGGATTTATCGACTTTGCCAAATACGTCTTTAATTTATTGGAATAAGTTCCATGGTCGTTTAACATAACTTTATTCCCACAAAACCAATGCAACATTATCTGGCCATCACAGTATCTTGAAACGGTGTACTATTAAACTATATAGAAGTAGTATATTTGTGGTTATGGAAGTGTTTACGATCGCGTGGAAAACACGTTTAATGGCTTTCAGGCACTAACCGGATGAATAGTACCCGGTAGTGCTTTCGGCTAGCCGTTTTATATTACCGTTTCTGAGTAATACGTTTTGTTGTACTTAAAACGGCCTGTAATAGATAAAAAAACACTGAGATTTTTTGTAAAGGTTATAAAGATTATATATAAAAATAAACACACTTGTTTGCTTATATTTTCTAAACTGCAGAACCGCTTACCCGCTTGACTGCACGGATGGCGTAGTGGTTTAAGCGGTCGCCACGCCGTTTCCTACTACGCCTAGTGTTGTGGGTTCAAATCCCACATGGGACGACACTTGTGATCCACAAATTGTTGTTCTAAGTCTGGGTGTTCTTTGTGTCCGTTTCATGTATGTTTGTAAAGTCCCCCGCGACACAGGATATACTCCTACTGCGGGAGCTGTCTTTAAAAAATAAAAAATAAATTGTAATGTTCTACACATCATTACCAAGGATATGTCTTTTATCCAGAAAGAAATGTTCCCAATGAGATAAAAACCTTCTTTGACGCTAGTGTATTATAAAAAAAAAAAACATTATTCTAAGGCTATTCTAAGTTTTTGCATCAACCGAAATAATGAAAATAGGAACTAAGTAAAGTAGGAAAAGGAAGTGAGTTAAATATTGTGTGAAGTGAGTTAATAATTCATTTTCCTGTAAGAATCTTTTAATTGTAAAATCCAATAAACAAAAAACAGACCTCGCTGACTGTCAATTTTGATACTTTTTGAAGTTATTAATATCTAAATATTTTATGGCATACAAGCAAAGCCGAAAACAACTTGAACTAGAATTATAGCACCTAAAATATTAAAGCAAATAGGAGCCTGCTACCCATTTTTGCTGTTCGCCAAGAAGCCTAATATAATGATTATGTGTAGCATACATCGTCATTAATGTACCCTTGGGTACACGAAACGGATACGGACACTGAAAATTTAATATCCCAAAAAGGGAACACATAAATTCGCATACTGGGCGGTATGCCAAATTTGTAGAATATCGGTTTCAGTTGAGCAGTACATAACTTCGTTGTACAATAACTCAAAGTGACATTAAAAAAATGAAATGAACTGAATCCTGACAATACAGTAGCAGTGAAACTATAAATAATATATGCAAGAGATAGTTCAAATGCAAGAGATAGCTTAAAGTTAAATAATAGTTATCATTCAACTGCCAATACTGAAAGGCTATAGTGAGACAGTTTACGAGGCAATCTGGAGCATCGCTTTTTATGTTGTAAGCCGTATCTGTGACGGGAAGAGGGTAGACGTGTCGGCGTCAACGCGACGCGCCGGCGCCTACGTCTGCCCGTGGAAATCTAGGGCTGTCATAAATATTCTTAACTTACTGATATCAAACATTTATTTACTTCTTTCTTATATTAGCTTTTGGCTTGGCTTTTAGTATATTCTTCTGAGTACTAAAATAAGGTATTAGTAAAAAAAACAGACGTTTTCTATCGTTAAGCTCAACCCTAATATAAAGTTCCTCGACATAGCTTAGGCGTTGCAAATTGGAGCTTGTGTCGCTACACAAGAGTTCTTGACACAATCTGTGACGCTTCTTAATTGAAGTTGAAATTAAGAGTGCGAGACTGACAGTCTTATGATGGGGTAATTTACATTTTTTTTTTTTTAGTCAGTGAAGTGTAACTTAAAGAGTATAGTCCAAGATGCTTAGGAGTTGTTGACAACAGTATCCATAATATGCGTCTCTGGCTGTTGTAAAAAAAAAGGATTAACTGTTTTACTTCATTTAGACGTCGCTTGTCATTGATGATACAATGAATATACCTTTGTTACATAATATGAGTTTGACTGTATGATGCAGACGGATGAAGGATGAAGGATTTCTGTAAAGAAATTCTCCGAAGTCACGGCAGTCACGGAAGTCTTAGACGTATCCGTTATATTAACTGTTTTTTTTTTTCAAAATCGATGTGTCATCTATTTTGTAATTCACCAACGTAATTTTTTGCTCTACATTATTACGTGGCTTCCCCAAATGTCCTCCTACATGGACTAGCAACCATTCTAAAGTGACAGAAAGCAGTTTCCTCAATGATGTTTTAATTATTTTAAAGTGTTTACCGTATCGTAATATTCAAAGCAGTGTTCGACAGTCGAGTGTACGAAAAGTTTAGATTTTCAAGGTCATTGAAAATCTAAACTTTTCGTACTTAATAGCCGTCCTCAAGAATAAGCAATGTCTAAGTTCTAATTGTAACAAAAATTCTAGCATCTCACGAAATATAAAAGTTTTATTTCCTAAAGTATGTTCTAACAATACGCCAAAGTTGTTAAAAATATATTTTATTACCGGCTTACCTTTTATTACTGTAAGCAAATTTATATACTATAAAATTTAGAGCGGAGTTGGCAACATTGTATCTTACGAGTATTAAAGGGGTTTACGTAAGTCGAAATGTTTCGTAGCCTAGTTGTAGCTCACGTCGCCTCGGCTGGTGCTACGAGCTGTAGCGAGCTACGTGACCGGGTTACTTGTGATAGATGGTACTCCGTGAGCTCGTGAATAAAATGCTTATGCTACGAAATCCAATTTAAAAATTTGCTAAATTGCATGAATCAATTTTGTGATAGCACTGATTTATGCAAATAAGGTATTTCTTCATTTGACTAACCTGTTGGTCTAGTGTTTAGTGACCCTGACTGCTAGCCATGGGTTGTGGGTTCAATTCCCACCCAGGACAAGTAATATTGTGATGAGCACGATCATTTTTTCTGTATCTGGGTGTAATTTATCTATGATATGTATATATTTAGAAATATATAAGTATGTTTATCAGCAGTTTGGTTATAGTGCAGACCCTGCCTGATTTCTGATCAGGCGGCCGTTTGTGAGATGTGTGAGGTTATGTTTGTTATTATTTAAGTAGCAACAAGTTTAGTTGATTTAATCCATAATTCTCAACAGATTTATATCGTCTAAGGACGTTTTATATGTTGATCGATAAGGTCAAGCTTCCTTCTTATTTTTGGAATCCTTCAGTCGGTTATTGATTGTAGCAATGTAGGCCAGTACGGCTTTACTATGTCGTAAATATTCATTATATAAAGAAAATAATAGCTGAACGTATATTGCTCTATTATTTCCATGATAGGAGACTTTATGAGGGTCGTGTTCGATAAAGATATCATGGCAGTTATGTACATATTTTATCGAAAACAATAAAAGTGATGTTGGTCTAGACAGGTTCTAATAGAAATATCACTTCCTGTTTTCAGATAATTTATTGATACAGCATTTTATAATTTTATAGTTGTTTGACGATATTTTTAAAGTAGAGATATTTTAACACATTACGCCTATTTTAACAGTACGGATATCTTCATGCATTCAGCAATCAAATACAATAAAATTGTAATAGAATCCTTAAATGATATGACTGCTTCCAGGTCGGGTTCCGAATTTCCATAATTATTTATTATTTTAATTTATGTGTAATTTAAGATATATCGTATGTCTACATTTTTATTGTGCAAATATAATTGGTTTATTTATATCTATAACAGATTATTTGATTATGTTATTATTATTATTATTTTAATCACGCAGCATGCACCATTTCATTTTAACATTGTGTATAGCAATAAGTGGATAATGCTGTTGGTAGTACAATTAGCACATTTGTATCTATTTACTATTATTGAATTTTGAACTATAGTTTATTATCCCAAATAAATAAATATGAAGAGATACACATATTATATTCAGGTGCATATTTTCTGAATCCTTGCCTATGGCATTCCATTGTAGGCATTGATTAATCAATTTCGACAAACAGCTTTTATAAAACCATATTTTTTTCTGTTATAAACATATAATTTATTCAGAAAAGAATGAGTTAACGATCGGTATTTATTTGCGACCCTTTTAGTCACAAAACATATCGCAATTAGTTCACAGAAGAAGAGTTAGAAAAAACTTTAAAGGAAGTTATTAAGTTAGCACTGACAACCTTTTATTTGCTTTACTACTAATCGTGAGAGCTTTCGTTGACAAGACTGTTTTCAGTGATACAAAGCTAGGAATGTGATTTCTTGATTGTATATATGTATGTAATACCTGATTTATTCTGTTATCACCGACCGTTGCATATTAAGGATTTAAATGTTCATAAGTAGTATATATTATAAAGTCGTTTTGCAAGCCAGCAAATAAGAGTCTTATATATAGAAGTTTCATTGTTATTTCTCAATGTTAAAATAGTATGTTTATTCCACAGCCACCGAGCTAGACTTGCTGGGCGCACTGTCGCTGCACAACACGTCGCGCGCCGGAGTCACTACCGCGCCGGGCATGCAACCGCAGCGCACTGCATACACTTTACAAGGTATCTACTTATCCTACTTCTCTTATTACATTTTCTTGTAGAATTTTATAAATTCGAAACACCAAATCACGTCAAATCTAAACGTTACTGCCCGAAATATCACAATAAATTCATAGTTACATTTTTAATCAGGGGTTCGTTCGCGTGCGATTCCCTCCCATGATAATTGTGTGATGATCACGATAATTTCTTCTGTGTCTGGGTGTAATTTTTCTAAAATATGTTAGTATTTAAAAATAGATAAGTATGTAAATCAGCAGTCTCGTTACCATAGCAGCGACCTTTGCTTAGTTTGGAATTAGACTGCCGTGTGTAAGATGTATGAAGTTATTATTATTATTGTACAATTTTTTTTAATATTTACACTTTTAACCAGTTTTTTAGGTGTTCATATATGGTATTACAAACGTTATACCACGTACAACGTTACCCAACGGCTGTACAAAAAGTCGGTCATGACCCCACCAAATATTAAATAGTGGTTGTATGGTACGACCGTGTGGTTCGATGGTATTATACAAATTATAGTTCACCTGATAACAAGCGCTTCTTTGATAGTGAAGTTATAGTTATGTAGATCTTTAAACGTACAGTTACAAAATATATAGAACAACTCGTTAATTTAGATATTTATCAAAATATCGTGTAAATACATCAACTTTTGTTTTAAAATAAGTTGTTATACTACTTACTTACTTATAATAATAGATCAAAGCTATAGTTGTAAAGGTCCAAGTTTGTTTTAGAATCTGATTGTAATCAAATTACTACCGCATTCAGTAGCATAACAAAAAGGCCCCTATCATATAAGCCGTTAAATTCCAATTAAGATACTCATATATTTTTTAATTTAACCTGGCCCGTTTCAAAACAATAAAAAGGTTTTCAGTTAAAGTAGGTCAACAAAAGTCAGTAAACACCGACTTCACCAATAAATTATCTGAATGCCTTAAATATTTACTTATTAAATTTCTTGCACATATATCACTATCGCATATTTAAAACCTTTCAATTCTTACGACAAGTTCTCAGAAAAGTTTGTAAACATACTCCTGCCAGGGGAATAATTTTACATCAAAATTATTAGGCGTGTAAACCTGTTTTACAAAGATACCATATGTCTTTACATATGGTATCTTTGTCAAAATAAAACTTTAGAATAATTAAATTAAATGTTTCAGTATGAACCTAATTAAAATTCATGTTTTAATATTTTATTTTTCTTTTAGACCAGCCGCAATATATTTTTCGACAGACTATTATGTGTAAATATTTAAATAAATAAAAAAGATAAACATAAATAATCCAGCAAAATTAAACAAAAGAAAATGCTTTTCATATATTAAAATTTAATTATGCGTATAATAAACCACTTTAAAGATACCTTGATTTAATTTCAAAACTTTGTGTTATTTAAACTGAATACTTAGTTATATAGTAAGTATAACTGAATATAACTTCGTTTTATTACAATAATCACCACTATCAGATTATGCTACTGTTATAATGGGTCTCGGTTGCCCCATTACGGGCAGAACTAAATAAATAAAGGTGAGACAGTCTGTGTTAACTACGTTTCATATTTTGATGTGGTTAATGTATTATATAAATGTTTTTTTTAGTAAATTTAATATTATATTCCGTATAAGTGGTTAAAGAAAAATATGGCGTTGTGAGGAGAATAATTTTAGTTCGACGGAAACAAATCTGAATTCATAATGAAAAATTAAATAGTGCCCATTAAGTTATGAATACAAATAACAGCTCTATCGGAATAAGTTGAAAAATACTGTTTATTTTTAAATATTTCTAAATTTCGGTGACAAATATTAAACAAAGCATTAGAAGAAAATTGTTAATAAGAGAAGAAAAATATACCGATCTGTTTTTCTTTATCAAAATCATTAAAATATAAGAATCACGCAACATGCTCTTAGACATCTGTCAATTGTTGGGTTTATTAATTGTATTGAATCGATGTTTTTTAAAAACCTTAATAGCCTTAATAAATTAAGAATCGAATAGAAATATTTTGAAAGGAACTATAGGATGGCAATAAAGCCCTTCAAATGATTTTTCATTTAAAGGGTTTAATTGTTTTATTTTGTTAAATTTAAAAAGTATGTTTACACCAGCTGGGGAAGCCTAGGATTGCAGAGGGCAATAAATTATGTGGGACTAAAATTATAGCTGACAAAATGGGGGCATTTAATACGTCCCCATCATCCCAAAATCCCAAAGTAGAAATAACAAACCAAGACGTCTCATCGCACAGTAATGGACTATAAACATAGGCAAGTTGTGTGAATGCAATACAGTCAGGTACAATTCCATTCCATTGCACTTAGAGAAGGCGTCCATTAGCGAAGCCCGCGGCGCGCCTCTTTACATTTTAATGTTCAACGTAATAAGTCTTACGTATCACTCGCGATATCGTATCGCAGGGTTTTAATTTGATTACTGGTTCGTGAGTAATCGCAAAGTGGACTTTACTTTGATAGCCAATAGATTTAGTAATGGGACTGAAAACTTCTTTAAATCGGTAAAGGGGATCTTTCCACCAAACAAATTGTTTATGCCGCGGCATTACAAATCAGCGGAAGAATTTTTCTTCATAGTTTGTGATGACATTCAATAACATCATTGTGATGATGATGATGATGTATAACTAATAAACCATACATCAAGTGGCGCGTTATAGGTACTGGCAAGAAAATATTTAAAGTAGATGCATTCTTCAAGATGGTTGATCTGACATCCTCATAACAATAATAATAATCACTAGGGGAGTGGTCTTTTGTGTTCCCCTATCAGTTTTTGTGATGCGGACGTTCGGAGATTGATCGAACGTTCATTGGAAAAACTGGGAAAAAATGTTTATATTCGATCATTAAGGTTAGTGGGATACGTATTTTGTAAACGAAACTGAGTCATGTTGGCTCCAGACACCATAGCAAAAATATTTCATAACCAGTTGGGTTAAGAGAAAACATAATCATCATAAACAGCCTTGAGTACTCCACTGCAACGAGCAGACGGGTCACCTGATGGTAAGCACAAGTGCGTTGCTGCCCTTGGAGTCCCTCCCGCTGACTCGAGCGGGGATTTGGGCTTTTCATTTTGAATACAGACTTTTTGAATTAGATACTGCCCGCCTCAAAAATCATTGCTGGTTGTTCAATGTTGATAACCTACATACTATAATTTCACACATCTCACACACATCCATTTGATTCTAAACTAGGTAGAGCCTGAACTATGATAACCGGACTGCTGATACACATACTTACATATTTCTAAATACTCGTACATACATATTGTAGATAAATTACACTCAGACACAGAACAAATAATCGTGCTCATCACACAATATTTGTCCTGGGTGGGAATCGAAACCATTATCTCCGGCATAGCAGTCAGGATCGCGAACCACTAGACCGACAGGCCCGTCAGAATGCTGTAGTAATAAAGGACACACGCAAAAATAGTATAGCTTGTGATTAGGTTAAATTTGTGTTTAACCTTATGTGCGTCGGTAAAACAAACGACAGCCAAAACTTATCTTCAAGAATAGTTATTGGCTCTGTATACACATATATTTTCGTGTTTTGTTGAAAAAATTACGAGTAGGTACGATGTCACAGTCTATAAAAAACTGTTCCGGTTTAACCAGATCCTTTTAATTTAGATAATATTCACCTTTGTGGTTTGTTGCGGCGTTTCTTCCCAGAGTGCTTCTAGCTGTAATGTTCGACTTGAAAAATATATCTGAAAAGATTTACTTGTAGAAATAAATATCATGTATCATTCAAATTTCGAATTTAACCCGCAATCATTTTTTTCATCATTTATTATATCAATCGTTCAATATAGTTCAAACGAATGGGTTAAATGTAGAATCTAATGATTTAAAATTACGAGTACTGGTTACACTTACATTAGATGGAAGTCGTATATAAAAAAAAGAAATAAAAATACGTATAGTAGCGGGCCGGCGGGCCGGCGCACGCCCGTAGAAGCGTAGGCATGCAGCCGTAGACGCATCCCCAACGAAGCGAGTCCATTATCGGCGGCAAGCCAGTAATCCAGCCGGCAAATATCCGTTATCCCTCAACGCGACCAGTGATTAACTCGCCTCTAAATAGCCCTGCATTTTATCACAACTCGAACATAGGGTTGTCCAGTGTCCATTTGTACTTACGTTGATTTTATTAACCAGTTTCTCTCTTTTCTTCAGTGTAAGATAGTGTTTTCTGAGAAGAATATTAAAAGAAAAAAAGCCTATGTTTCATTATGATACTAACTGCATGTTACTACACAGTATAGTCCAACTAAAGATCGCCTGTAAGCGATAGTAGACTGCGATAAGACCGCTAATTCTACGGCTGTTTTTTTTTTTATTCTACATACTTCTATCATACTTTCCTATACATGGTGTGCAATAAAGAGTACCTGATACCAATTATTTTTAATCTAAGGACTAAACGTAAAAATTAACTTAATTATTTTAAAATACTACAAATTTGCGTTGTTTTGTGGTGTTAAGAAATTACTGCATACTAAGTTATTTTAATTATTCACATGTACACACATACATAAAATATTATTGTGTACAAATGCAGCTAATAAACAATTTTGGTAGTAAAATACTTACTGCTCCCTATATTGATATAAACTATAACAATATAATGTTACAAATACAATTTTCTAATTTATATGTCACAATGCATTCCCAGACAACCCTACGATTTTGGGGACCGTTTTCGCATTTCACTTACGGGTAACCTAATCCTCACCATTAAGCAAGTTGCGTGCAATGGTGTAATTGTTGAAGGGTGTTCACCCTAATTTGTAGGGATCACAGACGGGGCCATATTGTCTCGTCGCCTGTTCAAGTGTCAAACACCAAAGCGTTGGGATTAGGGACGTGATGCGGTGTTGCAAAATATGGACCATTCATGAAAACACTTTGGCTCATTGACTAAATGAAACATTCGGAT